GTCACCTCCGATCCCAAACTTCCTGTCATCCAACTCCAGCTACATGCGTATCATCACAATCACAATTTAATCTCGAAATATGGAAAGGAATTTTCACAGTAAGAGCTGGTTCAAGCCAGTTCAGTAGATTGCCTTAAAAAAGGCCTGGATTCTTTCCTAAATGCACATATTATAATGGATACTAACATTTATAGATAAAGTTGATCCAGGAAATATCTGATTGCCACTTGGGGGACCAGGATGGATTTTTTCCTCTGCTGGAGCAAATTGTATCATGCTTTGCTGGAGTTTTTTTGCCTTCCTCTGGATCAACTGTGGGTGTAGGATTGTGTATATTGGATTGTTTATATTTTTTTCTTTTTTTATTGGTTAATCTAGATGGGCTTGTGTCTTTTTCCAACCAGACTAACTAGGTAATTAAGTGGCACATATCTTGTAAAGGTCCTCTAATTAAACAAAAATACATATAACAAAAAAATATATATTAATGACCCCCAATGTAAATTCAGGTTAACCACAATGTCCAGCAATTTAATCCAATTCAATCACAGCATACAACTATGTAAATCCATGCCATTCATGATGACCTATTGCCTGAATCATGTCACACACCTGTTACAATTTGAGAGACCCTTGCCACTGCATTAATTTAAACAAAGTTCTGAGGATCCCAGATGAGGTCATTTGTTCAATGACCTAGGATCCCTGTCTATCTGTTTACACCACAGCCAGGGATCTGTTATTTAGTGGTGGGGCTGCAGTGGGTAAACATCTGCATGTATTAGGTCATTGTGATTGATGAGGATCCACATTGCTGGATGTCATGAGCGACATGGGTATTAATACGTTGTTGTCATTTGTGTTTTTATTTTAATTAAAATGCTTTTACAAATGTGTTTTTTTTACATTTAAATCTTTGTGGAAATAGGTAAGGGATACTAATGTATCCCTGTACTCATTCCCCTGGAAGGGGGAAAATACTGTAGATGTGTGCCCATTTATTATAGAGAGGGCTTTCAGATTCATCTATAAGTCCCCAATATTACCACCACCTCCTTCTTGGGAACTTGGAGGTAAGGAAGAGGCTCTTGGCCCTCAACATTTTGACAAAAGTGCCTTGCAAGGGAGAGGATTGCTAACCCCCTTGCAAAGTAATCCCCCTTCCAATGCTGTAAAGCATGTGGCCTGCTCTGGAGCAGGAAGGTGAGGTTGCATGCTTGCTGCTCTCCCTCTTCCCTGTCCACCTAGACTGCATGCTTGGATGAGGGTTTGGAAAGAATTTTGAGGGGAATGTCACATCTTTTTTTCCTCTTTTTTAAATGACTACTGTCTGTTAAAATTGTACTGTTCCATATTACCTGATGCAGTTTTAAGCATGTTATATAAAACATTTGGGTGTTTTTAAAGCATGTGGTTTTCAATATTGTCCTCTAAGCTGCATTGAAAGACCCTCTACTTGCTGTATGGTACCTTTTTTTGTTTTGCATTGGTATATTGCCCTATGATAGTGCCCATGATCCTATGTCCTTTATATTAACAATAGCTTGTCTATCAACCTCTAAACTGGCCAAAAAAAAACAAGATTCACTTTCCATAGACACCTAAATTCAGGGTCCACAGACTTCCCAATGGGTTCGCAAAAACGCCTGCAAATGGACCCCGGCAGATTCACTCATTCCTAGAACCCTGCTACTTCTGTACCTGCTAGCTTCAGATACATCAAGTGTGTCCAACAGCTCTACATTCATGTGAGTCACTTGACATGTTATTAGTGTCAGCTTAACACTCATTGATAACCCAGTACTGTAAAAGGGACCTGCTTTACATGCTGTAAACTGACTAAGCATACAGTCATGTACAATACAGTGTTACCAAATACAAATCATGAATGATTAATGTTTCCAGTCACTTACTATATTACATTTGGAATAAATAATTTTGTTTTGTTCAACATCCATTAATATATAGATATTTAAGAGCACATATTATATGATAGAATTTTTCACTGATATACATATTTTATATATACATTTTTATTTTCCCCATTTTAAATAATATAGCTATTAATTTTACATGACATCTAATCAATTTATGCACCGTATATTACAAAATATATTTATCATTACTAAAATATTGGATCACTTTTCAGATGGCATTTGACAGGAAGGAAGGAGGTGATATGCCTCCTCACCACCTGTTTTAACCCCTAAAAGTCCACACTACTGCACTACATTGCAAACGGTTGCAGGGCAGTTGTGGTAAGGCCCAAATCACTTTCATGCTATGCCATGAAGAAAAGCATTGTGGCAATGATAAATATACAATTCCATTCTGTTGCCTTTGCAGCATAAGGGAATGGCTCAACCATCTGTTTTTAGGCCCCCAACTACAAGTACAAACAGCCTTAGGTGCCTGCGTGTACTTTCCATTAACTTCACCACAGCTGCAGGTTTGCAAAAATGTAGGGCACTAATCCTGACTTTTTTTCTCAAAAGTCAGCTCAATGCCTCCTACCTTTCACAACCCTAATTTGGTTCTTCATATTAATTACCAGTCTTTGTTTTTCAATGAGAGGTTGTAGGAGGAGGGGGTCAACTATGCTTTAGTTCCCATCTGAGCATAGCATTTTGAAACAAGCATTTTAGTGTGTTTTTGCTGTCACATCACAACCTATTGACTTGAATGGGCTTCCTGTTGTGTGAAAAATGTGCCAAAGAAGCTCAAGAACCATCTCTTGGCACTGAGCCAAGTGTATTTGGTAATGAGTATTTTTGCACATTTTATGCACATTTTTGTCAGAAAGAAAGCACACGACAGCTACCCGTGTTTCAAGTGCCATTAAGAAATAATGGCACTGCATGAGGATCATGCATTTTTTTGTGCAAAACACAGACAGAAACTTCCATTACGGCTTGCATTACCACTACTTACAGATGTGAATGGGGCCTTACATTTTTCAGAGAAAGATGACATTCGTGCAGAATACCCTGTATTTTTAGGGATGTGGTTTGATAATGTATTACATCTATACATATGTATATGTCATTAACCGGTTCCCGCCCGGCCTATGGCCGAATGGCGGCCGGCAAAAAAACCCTCATACCTCTGGGTGGATGCCATATGGCGTCCTTTCAGGCATGCGCAGTTTGCATGCCAGCAGAGCCGCACAGCGGCGTGATCTGTGACCGGCCGTGTACCTCGGACACGGCCGATGACAGATCTGTGTACCGGCCCCGTTGCCAGTACCATGTGACCTGCTGTGACCAATCACAGCTGGTCACATGACAGTTGTATACAATGGTTGGCTTCCTATCATGCCATCCATTGTATACAAGTGTGGCTAGCTGTGAATGGTCACAGTGATCACATGTGCAAGCTGGGCCAATCACAGCCCAGCTGTGTCATGTGATTAACTGTGGTCAAATCACAGTTAAGAAAAAAAAATCCTGAATGAATCAATTTCATTCAGGTAAATGTTTGCTTATAGCAAAGTAATTCTTTGCTATAAGCAAATTGTGTAAAAAAAAATATATATATAGATCATTTCCCCAAAATAGTGCAATGTTACCATGGTAACATTATGCTACTTTGGTCATAGTGAAATATGAAAAACAAAAACCTAAAAAAAAGAGAAAAAAAATGTAATAAAAAATAATAAACACATTAATTTTTTTTTTTTTTTAAAAGTATCAATTTTTTTTTTTTTGCACTGTCACCAGTCAGTGTCCCTGATCACTGCCATGCCAGTTATATGATGATGCTGTACTGCACTGGTGACAGTACGTAAAAAAAAATAATGAAAATCATTTTTTTTTATTTCTTCATTTCCAAAAAATTAGGACAAAAAAATTACAACTTCAAAAAACTCACTATGCCTGTTATGAAATATGTCGGACTGTCTACTTTGCAAAAAGGGGTCATTTGGGGGATAGCTGTACTGTTCTGACATTCTTGGACCTCAAGAAATTAGATTGGCTGTCAGAACTTCAGGACTGATCAATATTCAGATATATATACCATAGTTCGTGAACTCTATAACTTTCCTACAAACTAAATAATAAATACTAATTTGGGTTATTTTCACCAAAGACATGTAGTAGAATACATTTTGGCCTAAATTTATGAAGAACAATTATTTATTTGCAAACTTTTATAACAGAAACTAAGAAAACCGTGTTTTTTTTTTCAACATTTTTGGTCTTTTTTTGTTAAGTTAGCAAAAAATAAAAACCCCAGCGGTCATTAAATACCACCAAAAGAAAGCTCTAGTTGTGTGAAGAAAATGATAATATTTTAGTTTGGGCACAATGTTGTATAACCATTCAATTGTCATTCAAAGTGTGACAGCGCTGAAACCTGAAAATTGGCCTGGGCAGAAAGGGGGTAAAAGTACCCGGTATGGAAGTGGTTAAAGCTTATGTACACATAAAACAAGGAAAAAACTGACAATACATTGGATTTTGATATTGTAGTTAACCTCTCTAGCGGTCTGACTATGTCCATGTTTCTGTGCTCAAAGCGGCATTTTTTTGCATGGAAATATGTATTTTTTTATTGTAGGCCTGTAATTTTTAGGAATAACTCACTGAAATCTGTCCAAACAAGAGTCTAGTAAACATCCCGGGTATGTTGAAATTTGAAACACAAAATCATAAATTATAATTTAATAAATAATCATAAAAAATAGTATAATAATAATAAATGTAATTCAATAATATAATCAAACCAAAAACACTGAAATTTGAAATATAGCACCAAGTTCGCACATCACTGAGCAAAGTCGCAAAATCGTTTTCAGTGTCTGATGACGAATTTCCCCACAAATCATTATCACTCAATTCTGCAGGTAGTTCTAATTTACTATCGCTGTTCTCTAGCTGGTCTAAAACCGATTTTGACCTAAAGGGACGCTTTTTGGATGCCATGGATGTTTCTCAGTTTCCAGGCAGAAAGAACAATAAAAATGCAGGCAGGGCACAGGACAAAGCACTCGGGACAAAATGTATGTGAAATGGTTTGATACAGTAATGTTTTACTATGTTATTTTAGTGAATTTAGTGAATGTCACTTTTTGTCATTTCATATTTCCCGCTGTTCCATTCCCCATATGTCCTGACGCTCGCAGGGGACGGAACCCAGATGACAGATGCCGGCATCCGCCGGATTACATTGCCGGGGACACTGCAGGACTGACATCGCGGGGAGCGCAGGACAAGGTAAGAGAAGAACAGATCCCGCAGCAGCGTCGCATGGTAAGCCCGAGTGTAGCTCGGGGTTACCGCTTGTGGTACTGAAACTTTACCCCGAGCTACACTCGGGAATACTGCCAGGGAGGTTACAAAGTAGGGATAAGTTGATCTGCCAAAGTTTACCAAATCTTGCTTAAAATTTGGTGAACCCAAACTTAGCAGCAAACTCCATTCAAGTTTATGGGAGGCAAACCCTACCAGTAAATTTTGGCCATTTGTAGAGCTAAATTATTGCATGCAAAGTTGGGTACTGCTATAAAGAGGGAGGGGGGGAATTTGCCAATTGCAAACATTTTGTACACTAAATACTGAAAGAGAAGGGCGTTTCATGTGGCCTTAGGGGCAACATTGAAAAATACACAAGACCTTTAAATTTCATGCTTGGAGATGCATTAAGGCTGTGTGCGATGTTACAGAACAGCAATGTTTTTTGCAATGGCACATGTCTTTTCACCTTACAGTAATAGGCCTGAATTGATCAGCAAATAGAATTTGGCCAGTTGTTTGCTGGGTCTGTCCCTGTTCTGACTAATGAAAAATTGTCCTGCCACCGGCTAGTGTCTATCAAACTCTCATTGGGAATTAGTAGATATTGCAAATAATACATCAAATGTACTAGAGGCACAGAATACAGGTGAGTGTTTTACAACAAAAATTAAAATATCAGAGAAGATGTGGCAGTGAAAAATTGCCCAGAAGCAGGACAGCTTTATTGAGGGAAAAACTGTCCAAATTTAACTAGAGACACAAAGTCAGGCGGTTTACTACAAAAATACGGTGACTGCACAGGACATAGCAGTGTAAATCTAACCAGCAGTATTTATCTAGAATTATTAATCATGAATAGCAGGCCTAACTGGAATATTCCTAACTCTTATTTTTACACACTGTTCTTGAACTTAGTTTTTTTTACATATATTTCAAACAATGCAGCAGTGAGCTCCAAATAAAAAGCAGCTTTGAAACAAATGCTCAGTAACAAGTGAATGTTGCACACTCCAATGGGGATGAACAGCTTTTTCGGTCGAACGTGAGTCATTTGCAGTATGGGAAAATAGCAAACTATTGTAGCTGTTCGCTTGTGTTCACTGTGCTGTAATGTGCACATTACTGTGGATTGCAGTTTGGTTGGCTACATATTTGTGCATCTGCTTCTGTGTTTAGAGTAAATTCCTTCTAGGACTACTTTTTTATTTGTGTCAGCAACTACCTGTGTGTGTCATCTATTTTGTTTTATAAAGACACAAAAAATTATTTGGTTGGAGTTTAATGTTTTAGGATTAGGGTTAAGTATTTTATGCTTAATTTATTTAGGAATGTATATTTTATTTCAATAAAAATTTTCAAGGCTCTATTTCGAGGTCAAGCTGCCCTTTGTTTGCAACACATCACCACATACTTATGAAGTACAGCTTAGTGCACCAAATCACCATGATCTGAAGGAAACCAAAGCAATACACCTTTAATCCCCTTATTGCCATAGTTGCTGGTAAACCTAGGCAATCCCCTGTTTATCATGCTGACCTAATGGGAGAGAAAAAGGTTTTGCATGCACAACTAGTAAGGGGTTAGCAGGTTTTGCATCTGCAAAATATATAAATATATATATATATATATATATATACTGTATATCTGAATTGCTAAACATGTATAGAAAAGCCTATTCATCTGCCACCATTGAAGACTAACCTTCAGGCTGGTTGATAGGTAAACTACACAAAGCAAAGGTGGCAATGAATAGGAGAAGTCTTCAGGAAAGAATCTGTGATTTTTATGCTTTGCACATATTATATCTTTGTAAAAGAAAACATATGCACTATGTTACATATATTTAAAACAGGTGTTACTAATAAATAATGGATTATATTTTAGCTACTTGTTCAAACTGTGGTGCTTAAAAGCTCCTCTGTTAGCCCAACATTTAGTGTTCTATTTAAACTCACTTAGGCCTTACACAATGAGCCGCATAAGCAGATATTTAATTTTCCACAACAAAAAGGGTGATTTTGTTCCAAGGATTGGATTGCTAAAGCAATATCAGGTGATGAATTCTCATCAAACGCCTCATCTTTGTCAGGCAAGGGAATAATGTCTACTTTGGAAATCAGATAATATTCATGAGCTTTGATATACTCGCCTCCATGTTATCACTATCGCAAAGAAAGCTGGAAAGAAGACCTTTTTTCTTTGGCATCTACATCTATCCTTTTTTTTTGGATCTGAAGTTATATTTGGTTTGAGTGGAATATCTTGTTTACCTATGCAGAGCCATAGAAAGAACATTCCATCAGTATACAAAATTGTAACAACAGAAAAAGGAACTCCTGTCCTACCTTTAATTTAGGATATGTGATTGATTTAACGTGATTAACTTGCAGGCTTGTTATCCCTGCTTGTCACATTTGCTTTAACAAACAGCCTTACAAGAAAATAAAAAAAGTAATTAAAAATATTAAATTAAGAGATTAAAAATGCAAATTAGTAAATAGTGTAAAAAAGTAAAAAAACATACAAAATTAGTAAGGAATTGTTGCAAAATGATTGGGTCTGGACTAGGTATGAGGTTTGGGTTAGGATCAAAGTAGAATTTGGTCTGAATTTTGCCTGTTAAGTGAACATCCAAACAAAATGGGGTGACTTGCTGAGCTAAACCTCAGTGGGAAACGATGCATTTAGCAGTGGTAGTAATACTGCTGCTAAATATGACAGCTTCCTGCTCAGGCTGGTTTTAAGGAATCAGAAAGCAGGCGACAGATGATTGTAAAAAAACGGCAAGGATGCTTGCAAACATCACTGACCTGGCCATGGTGGGTTTGTATGTGGTAGCCTCCTTACATTTAAAGGGTGTTTCCATCTGCCAGTAAGAGCTCTGAATGCATGTACCTATGGTGTCCAGATTTTCCCTGTTAAGACATCCTCCCCATGTTGAGGGATCAGAATATGGGAGCACAAATTCACCCTCCACTGACCAGTTATGCTGCATGCTCATATAAGGGTCTGGTATGGTATTTTTGTGCAGATTCCACATGTTTGTTTTTTATGAGGCGAGGGTCCTCCCCTAAAATCTGTAAAATACTCTCAAGAATCTGGTATAGATTTTGGAAGCAAGGAGGGCACTTTGTAATTTTTGCTGTAGGATGAACTATAGCAAATTAACATTCAAATAACTAGCATTGGGACCCTCTAAAGGTTCCCCCAAAATACAAACCAGACCCTTTAAATAAGAGACAATAAGAGCCAGCTTTTTTTTTTAAATGATTTTCTTTGTAAATAACACTTTTGCTGTAGTACATTTCATACACTGTGCAATTTTTTAAATGAACTCTGCATTTTTAATGCAACATTGAGGGACTATTAAAACACTGCTAGGATTGGACTATGGCTTGCTTTTCCTTTAAAGATAATACCCAAGTTGCATTTCCCTCCTGCGTGTGTGTTTGCTACATCAGCCCTTTCAAGAAAAACAAAAATAATAAAAGAAAAAGATAAATATCCAAAAAACAATGTTGTTTAAAGAACAAAAATAACCTAAAAATGTATTACTTTTCGTCTCTGCCTCCAATTTGGTGCATCCAGACACTAGATCTACTACATGTACAAGCAGCTATGGCATATTGGGGGGAAGGTGGGGAGAAGGGGTGCTTTGGTGCACACAACTGTACCACCTAAGTGTGCAGTGACATGCTGAATACAAAGGGCAGCTTTGGGCAGCTTCACTTGTATCAGCAACAACTGTCACCTTGTGGGTGGACAGTCCAAATCATGGAGGCTGAGCACATGCCTGCACAGGCCACAAGAAAAGGATGCTTTTACAGTTCCATAAAAAAATGGCTGCTATGCACCCTTAAAGTGGTTGGAAACTTCAGATATGAAATATGAACAAAGCGTATCCCTCTATACTGTGTACTTGTCTCAATCCAGAGAACTAAGTGTCATTTCTCTCTCCTGCTATTAGCATGAATCACTTATGAGTTTTCCTGACTGAGGGCACAGTCCATGATTAACAGCTTCAGCTCTGTTCCTGTGTGCTGTTGTGATGTGTAGTGACTTTTGGGGGACTGTTTATTAAGAAAAATGATATTATCCCAAAATTGGGAATCCCAGCTGACTGTCAGGTGTTAACATTCTAGCGTGAATTTCAAGGGATATTTCAAGAGGTTACCACACACACAATGAGTTGAAGAGACTTGTTCAAGACACAATATCACTATTTGAATTTATACAGGTGATCAAACAAGAGTACCAGAAAAAGACAATGGTGGGATCTGATTCTGGTTATTCTAAGACCTTGCAAAAGTATGTCATCTAAACAAGTACCATTGTCTATGGGAAGCTAGGAGATACTTTAATAGCAGGAAACTTAATTAGAGGTGGTCAAACACCACTATTTGGACTTCTGCAGGTGAACATATACAAGGTCTGGAAGTGACAATAGGGGAACCAAACCTGATTGTCTGAAAGCTCACACAAAACCTTGGAAAGTGTGATGAACAAACCGTCTCCTTGAAATGTGACAATATGCTATTGAACTGAGGTTTTAATTCCAGACCAGTCTATTTTCCCTAATTCCAAAACAATAGGGCAGGTAAATAAAGGTTTCTCCCAGTCATGTGAACCTTGCGGTGAGAGCTGGGACATTGAAAATATAAAGTTTGATAAATACCAACACTTTTTATCAAGGGAAAATATCTTTAAGAAGGTTAGGTATTGAATACCACTCAATTAAGTGTGAAATGATGAAGAATAAGATGATTTGTGAATTAGTGTCAATTGTACATTTCCAAAAGAAATCAGCTATCTCAAAACAGTTTAAATATCAGGGAAATGAGAAACCGAATGTATGTATATCTTTCTAGGGTCCTTATCCAAGAATTAGTAGTGAAATCAACTATACTTGAATAAGACATATATATTTGATACCTAAAGACATTTCGGTTTCAATCAAAGTATGAGTCATCATTAAAACACAAATTGTTTTGTGATACCTGACTGTCCCCAGTGGACGTGCTCCAAACAATATATTGGCCGGACCACCAGGAGGCTTAGAGACCGCCTTCGGGAACACATTGCTAACATCAGAAAAGGATATA